TATATGTATATGTATAATCAAAATTATGCAGCTTAATGAGACAGCTTAATATTCCTGACCATCCTTATGTGTCCATACGACTGAGATGTAATCATGATATTACATATACACATCACATGAGTTCATACACTACAATGCAGGTATTAGGGTTATACCATAGCTGCTCTTGCACATGTGAGATTACAGACAGAGCAGAGGGCTCAGCAGGTAGAGAGACACGGGCTTGGCCTCTCACTGGCTGGAGCAGAGGCCGAACCTCAGAGAGCGGGAGGCCTGGCATGGCATGGCTAGCTCCTGGGAGGGGCTCAGTTAGGTTTGGTCATAAGAGGTTTACGGTGACAGGCAAGACTCGGACTGAAAGAAAATTGGGAAATCATTTATTCTAAGTGGCACAGCTTGGGGTAGGGGGTCTCAAAGTAGTATCTTTATGGAAAGAAGGGACCTTTGGGAAATCTCCACGTGCAGGGATGACAGGAGTCAGAAAAGCAGAGAAAAGGAGGACGTAAGAGGAGGTTCCCGCTTATCTTCAGATGCCCAGATATTACACATGCACCACGGCCATCATGTTTGGGGGCTAAGATCACGAAAGTGTGATTGTTAGGGGACAGAAACATGTTTGGGTGTTACCACTAGGTTATGAGGAAGGAGTAAATACAATGATAGACTTTTTTTTTTTTTTAAACTTTTCTAATCAAGACAAGATTGACAGGATAAAGGACGATGCTTGATGCTCTGATGTTTGTTGGACACATTTGTTTCATTTCGCTTCTCAGCCTGGAAAGATCTGAGCACAGTCTGTGAGGATTCAGTGAAGGAGGAGGGATCAGGATGAAGGAGGAGTGCCGTTCTATTTTGTTCATGCTCTCACAGAGCAGAGGGCGGAGCTAGCCAATAGTTAACCACAGAGGCCAGGCAGGGGCGGTACACACCTGCAATCCCAGCACTAGGGAGGTGGAGACAGGAAGTGATGTGGCTGGACAGAGAGAGGAGTATAAGGCGGGAGGAGACAGCAGCTCAGCCCCTTTTTCTGTCTGAGGATTTCATACAAGAACTTTAGTGGCTGGCCACTTGATGGGAGATGACAGTCTGTAAATATATTTCTCTTATTGGTTAATTAATAAAGTCCTGTTGGCCAATAGGAAAGAAAGATAGATGTGAGTAGGAGACAATGAAGATTCAGGGAGATGTAGTAGGAGATTCAAGATGTAGGGACTTGAGAAGAACTCCAGGCCCTCTCTCCAGTAAGATACGACCACATGGGAATACTTAGATGGACAGAAATGGGTTAATATTTAAGACAGAGCAGCCAATAAGGAACTCTAGGATCTGGTCAACGGCTTTATATCTAATACAGAATCTCTGTGTGTTATTTGGGGCTGGTGTGGCTGTGGGACCAGGCTAGTGGGAAAACTGCCTGTAACAGCCACTCTGCTTCTCTGATCTAGTTTTCAGTCCGATATCCGAATCAGAGTTTTTATTATTATGACCAATTAGAACTCATGCTATAGAGGAGGGATCAGCATGGGGGAGGAGGGATCAGCATGAGGGAGGAGGGAATGGGATGGAGGAGGAGGGATCAGGATGGGGGAGGAGGGATCAGGATGGGGGAGGAGGGATCAGCATGGGGGAGGAGGGATCAGGATGGGGGAGGAGGGATCAGGATGGGGGAGGAGGGATCAGGATGGGGGAGGAGGGATCAGCATGAGGGAGGAGGGAATGGGATGGGGGAGGAGGGATCATCATGAAGGGGGGAGGGTCAGGATGAAAGAGGAACTTAACTGAAGGCTTTTCTGTCCCACCCAGCCCTGCAGCCATTTCTAAATAATCACTCTGGGACTTAATATTAATTATAAACGTTTAGCCAATGGCTCAGGCTTATTACTAGTTAGCTCTCACATTTAAATGAACCCATTTCTATGAATCTGTGTATCGCCACATGGCCCGTGGCTTACCAGTGCTGCCCTGTCATGTTGCACCTTTGGTGGCTGCTGGCATCTTCCTGACTCTGCCCTTCTCCTGTATCTCTGCTTGGATTTCCCACCTGGCTCTATCCTGCCTTGCCATAGGCCAGAGCAGCTTTATTTACCAACCAATGAGAGCAACACATATTCACAGCATGCGGAAAGACGTCCCACACCAGAGGAGGGGTCAGGATAAGGAAATATGTTCACAATGAATGCTTGACTAGGCAGGTGAGTTCATGCAACCTACAGTCTTATTTTACTTCAGAATGACTTACTTCATGGTGTGTGTGTGTGTGTGTGTATGTATGTGTGTGTATATGTGCGTGTATGTGTGTGTGTATGTATGTGTATGTGTGTGTATATGTGTGTCTGTGTGTGTGTATGTATGTGTATATATGTGTGTGTGTCTGTGTGTGTATATATATATGTGTGTGTGTATGTGTATTATTTGTGTGTATATATGTGTGTGGGTATGTGTGTGTGTGTCTGTGTCTGTATGTGTGTCTGTGTCTGTATGTATGTGTGTGTATATATGTGTGTGTGTGTGTCTGCGTGTGTATGTGTATTTATGTGTGTGTATATATGTGTATGTGTGTGTATATATGTGTCTGTGTGTGTGTGTGTGTGTGTGTGTGTGAGGAGGGTTACAACTGTGCAGGGCAGGGGACAGCTTGATGGACTCAGTGCTCTCCCATTACCATGTGGGTACCAGGCCCTGTAACTCACAGTCTTGCTGTGTGGTGTGTCTGTCAGCAACAGCAGTCGAGTGTTCTACTTTAGAACTCTTACAGGACATTATCTTAGTGAACAAAAGCTCATTATGGAAAAAAGAATTCCATCTTGCACATGCTAATGTACACACCACACACACACACACACCTGAACACACACACACACCCACACACCTGCACACACACACACCTGCACACACACACACACCTACACCTGCACACACACACACCTGCACACACACACACCTGCACACACACACACACACCTGCACACACACACCTGCACACACACACACCTGCACACACACACACCTGCACACACACCTACACACACACCTGCACACACACACCACACACACACACCCCTGCACACACACATGCCTGCACACACACTCACACACACACACCTGCACACACACATGCCTGCACACACACACCTGCACACACACACGCCTGCACACACACACACACGCCTGCACACACACACGCCTGCACACACACACACACGCCTGCACACACACACACGCCTGCACACACACACACCTGCACGCGCACACACACCTGCACGCACACACCTGCACACACACACACCTGCACACACACACACCTGCACACACACACACCTGCACACACACACCTGCACACACACACACCTGCACACACACACGCCTGCACACACACACACACCTGCACACACACACACACCTGCACACACACACGCCTGCACACACATGCCTGCACACACACACATACACACATGCACACACACACACGCCTGCACATATACACACACACACCTGCACACACACACACACGCCTGCACACACACACACCTGCACACACACACACACACACCTGCACATATACACCTGTGCACAAAGCCACAGCTGTGGATGAAATAGTTTTCATTCCATTTTCCCAAGCAAATGGTCTTGGAAAGTAAACAACTTCCTTAGCATTAAGGGTTTTTCTCTCACAAGTTACAATAAAATGCAATTTATCTCCCACCAGTCCAATTTTAATGGTTTTTCGCATAGTCAGTTTCCTTACTCACAATTTCTGCCCCCTGGCATTATCTCTCCATGCTTTCTCTTCATTATGAGTGGTGGAATCGAAAAGTAAACATCTGCCAGCAAGAGTTTCTCCTCGAAACACAAACGTTTATGCTGAGCGGCTGCCTGTTAAGTTGCTTCACAGCTGCAGCCGATGGGGCTCACTGACGCAGGGCTGCCCTCCCATGCTCACTGCAGAGCTAGGGAAGCTACCTGAGCTTCTGATGTGGAGACAGCAGACTACGACTTTTCAGACTCAGAGTGACTGCAAAGCTCATTGTGAAAACATGAATAACCAGCTTGAATCAAAGTTCACCAGCTTTGAGATTTATTCCTAGGTCCCTGACACCCACCCACCACACACACACACACACACACACACACACACACACACACACCACACAACCACCACAATACACTATATACACAGACACATACACACCACACAGACATATACAAGACACAGATACACACACCACACACACACACACATACTACACACACCACACAGCATACTACACACCACACACACAGCCCACCACAACACATACTATACACACACCATACCACACATACAGGTGCACACATGAACACACACATACACACACGTGAGAGAGGTTTTGAATAATGGGCTAATGATCTTGAATGAGAATATTTTGGATTATCCGGCCGGTCCAATGATGTGATCACATGTTCATGTAAGGGACAGAGGAAGACTGGCAGAAGACAGGGGGTGGATGGTGGCGGCATCAGCTTGTCTGGGTTTGGAGTCACCTAGGGCGGCTGACAGGGTACACCTCTATAAGGACACTTCCAGGGGTAAAACAGGAAGTATCTGTAAAAGCCATGTTTCCCCCAGATACCGAGGAGTCAACAGTCATGAAGGAGCTGAGGCTGGAGAATTCCTTCCCCCTGTGCATCGTGTGTCCTGCAAGCTTGGAACCCGCTGCACTTGGGTGTGGTAAGTTATTTCTAAGTTAACATCCAGGACTCCGAATAGAACAAGTTGGGGTGGGGTAGAAAAACCAAACTTGGAAAGGACCTTGGTAGGTTGGAAAGTAAATATTTGAAAGGGTTTCACTGTCATAACATCTCACAAAGGCCAAACATCAGCTCTCTGGAGGCTCCAAGGCCAAGACCAAGACATCGTCAGGGTCAATTTCTGCCTTGCTTGTGTCCTTGCTGGGAATGCCTGGCTTTCTGTCTGTGTGTCTGTGCCCTACTGTGCTCTTCTTCAAGGACATGGGTCATACTGTGGAGGCCACACTGATGACCTCATCCGCCAGTGAGCCGCCACCGTAAAGACCCTGTCTCTGGAGTCGCATTCTGCGGAGCTGAACTGGAATCCAACCTGAGGATCAGGAGGTGAGCACAACTCAGCCCAGGGAGCCGGCTGCATTAGGCACAGCTCTCCAGAGGAGGGCAATATGCTACAAAACTGAACTTTCTGGACTGGCTTACACTGAGAGTGTGGAATCCAGCAATGGCCATCTGCAAGCTGGGGAGGCAGAGATCAGGTATTCAAGCCAGCACAGGACACCTCAGCAGTGCCATTCAGCGATGAAAGCCTAGCAGGCTCTGCAGAAGGGCTGGCGTTGACTGCCTCAAAAAGGATGAAGATGATGCAGTTGGATGTGGGTGGGAAGATGAGGACAGCCACTGGGACAACAAAGGGCTTTGCAGACTTCTCCATCCTTCCAGAAATAAGCCCAGGGAATGGGTGACACATGCCTCTGTCCAGGTCTCTTAATACAGTCAAGTTGACAACAGAGACCAATAGCATCAGCCAGAATCAGCCAGAGAGGGATGAGGTGGGAGAGGGTAAGTCTTGGCTCACCAGACACAGCTGTGTGCAACAGAGAGAAAAAGTTTCTGAGGTCACTGGGGAGATGCGCTGACCATAGTTGGTGTGATTCTGTCAAACCTGTGAACACAACGCCCGGTGTATAAATCTGGCCAGAGTGGGCTTGTGAATTAGGAGTCACTGGAAACAACTTCCAATCCTGGTCTGGGGTCAATGAAGGTTGCAAAGATTCTGGACAAGATCAGAAGAGAACCTTGGAGAATCACAGGCTTTGCAGCCATTAGAAAGAGGATTCTCTGACCTCTTGGCCCAGGGGGAAGGCCAAAAATCTCTCTCAAAATCCTCACAGTGATCAGACATTCTGCAATCTGCAAATTAGAGAGGTTAAAAAAAGACTCTTAGAGTTGCCAAAACTATTTTTTTAATTCTAGTGCTTCAGTTAAGAAGATGCTTTACAACATGAGTCTTTAACAACTGAAGTTACTAGGGAGGACTTTAAAAATAAGGTAAACGTTATGTCACATTATTATAACACAAACCGTTCTCAAGGTAGCAACATACAGACTATGGGCAACTGTTTTATTTATCAAATTAGAAACTTTAAAACATTATTTACCCCCCTTGTGCCCCAGAGCCCACATGGAGGTCAGAAGGCAGTTTTCAGGACTCAATCCTCTTCTATCATGTGGGGTTCAGGGATTGAACTCAGGCTTAGTGGCAAGTGCTCACCAGCCCCTCAGCAAACATTATTTATTTAAGTGACATGTACCATAAAAAAAAAAAAAAGAAAGAAATCAGGACCAATGCCACACCATCAGAGCTCTCAGCAGGGGGCTCTCCACGTCATATCTGAACAACGATGCACACTAACATGTGATCTTCACATGGCCAGACCTGAGCCAGCTCTGCGTCACTGCACTCTAACAGCACACACCAGGAGGAAACCGAGGCCCAAAGAGGTGAAGTCACTTGTACAGGAGCTGGCTATCCGAGCCTTGCTTCCTCCTGCCGCTATTAATATTCCCTTCAATAATTCAAGGGGAGGCTCTGCTGGGCATACACGTGCTGCTCATGCATTTTTAATGAACCATGCAGGGAAATGGGTGAATTTAGCAGAACTCCGAGTTCCCATGCCTCCCTTGCCATCTGCCCCTTGGTTCGGAGGCGCTACACAAACCAGGTGTTTAGCTGACGTCAGCCACCCCCAGAAGGCGGTGTCCACAGGGCACACCAGAAGCACATGGGACCTCTCGGCTAGCATGTAACGGAGAGCGCCTGCACAGACCTTCTCAAGCCTTCCAGACTGCAGGGCGGACACAGGGTGTGGAGAGTGATGCACTGGGACAGTCAGACAGCCGAGGGCGGGCAACACCACGGACGGAGACTGCTCCCTGTCTTAGAAAAGGGCTCAGAGCTGGGACATAACAAGCAGCACTAGAGTGATGAAGATAAAAGGCTACAGGTCCACGCTGCAGATGCACAATGGCCCCACGGTGAGGGGCCGCGGGTGTGGGGACTGCCCCAGTGACAGGCCCAAAAGGCAAACGCAAGTGTGCACATAAAGCGAGAAACGCTACAGGAAGTCACCAACACTGACTTACAGCCTTCACACATGATCACACGGGCAAGCATGTGAACACACACACATACACTCACACATGCACGCACACGCACGCACACACGCACACACTAGAGCACACACACTCACACACATGGACACACGCACACTTGCACGCACACTCACACCCGCACACACACTCACACGCGCACACACTAACACCCTTATACACACTCACATACACACACACTCACACTCATATACATACACCAGCTTTCCAACATCTTACTGCAAGTGCAGCCGCACACTAATGAGAGAGACGCTCTGAGAACCACACCACTCGTAACTTTGTCCACATGGCCTCTTGATGTAGCCAGGAACTGCTCACTCATAATTCGGGCATGATGTGGTACACTGTCTCACAGAAGTGGCCTTTGTATACGTAGGATGAGAATGGGGACGGTGCAGAGCACATGTAAACACTTATTTAGTGATTAACGGTATGCAGGAAACCCGTGTGGCGCTGCTGACGCCTGGCCTCTGCTGGCCTCCAGGCTTTCCATCTCACTTTCTGGGGACCAGTGTCTTTTGTTTGTGTTGAAATCTGACACCGCATCCTCAGGATCCCTGGATTATAGTGGATGCTGCAAGGACACGCGGGGTGGGTATGTTGAAGCCAAGCATTAAAGGCTGAAGGTCTTCCCTCCCCCTCCCTCTTATACAGTCTACATAAGGTACGTATACACAAGTATATACACATGTTTGCCTGCATCGTGTCATCACTACATTCGCACACACACACATGTATGTGTACACACACACACACCCCATGGTCTCAAGGGCTCCAGGAACTAACTGTAGCCAGTTGGGAGGGTCAAGCTCAGGAGAGCTGGCTGTAGAGGCCAGGCTCTGAGGCGCTGTCTGCCACTGCCCGCTCATCTGTCCCCATCAGCCACAGCTATAAAAGACATGACAGCAAATGCACAGTGTTGTGTGACACCTACACCCCTTAGCACCCACCAGCTCAGGGTCGGCACCTCCGAGTCTGCTGTGACTTCACAAGCCGCAACACGCAGCCCACAGCCTGTGTCTGAGAGGTCCAGGTCGGCCGCCCTCTCGGTCTGTACCAGCTTCCCGGTACTGCTTTTCCTACAGCGCCTACGAGTTCAGGAGCAGTGAGCGCCTGGCCGTAACCGTCCGGTCACAAGGAAACTGACAGGGGAAGAGGAAGAGGAAGAGGAAGAGGGGGGCGCTGAAAGAGAAATCACTCATCGAGAGAGCAAAACTTGCAACAAAAAGTTATTGCATTAGGTCTGTGTGTTTGTTTTAGTGCCACTGTTTCCTGCACGCAAACGGATTATCACCCAGCAAGCCTGGAGGTGTCACTAGTGGAAAGCACAGCAGCCAGGGAAATGTTGGAAACATCCAGTCTGATGAAAACACCGGGCAGTCAGAGCACAGACTTGTAGAAGTCCTCTGTCTTTGTCAATTTTCTGTCGCTGTTATAAAATTAACCCGAGAGGAGCAATTTGAGGAGGAGGATCCGCCATGTCTACTGGCATGGAAGGGAGCAAAGAGCAGAGGCCTGAGGTGGCTGACAACACCGTGTCCCGCCAGGAAGGAGAGAACAATGGATGAGTGTGTTCACCCCACACAGATATCCAATACTCTAAATGCTCCCTGGTTGCCTTGCCTTTCTTCCTCCTCCTCCTCCTATTCATTTATAAAACCATCAGTGAGGGCACAGTTGTGGCGTGCACCATCTTAAAGGGCTAATATGAGGATCAAATCAACGACCCTTGCTCCCTTAGTAGAGAAGAAGTTAACCCGCCGAGCCTGACAGCGGACAGTTAAGTGATCGGACCAAGCACACTGTATTCTTTAAGGAAAAGGAACTACATGCCAAGTATACGGAGTTTAGGAATTATTTCTTATTATCCTACTGGTGAGAGTCACTGCTGAACAATAATTGGCACTGACTATAGAGATGTGTCCTGTGATTATCTGGGGGGGGGCTTTAAATCTTCACGTCCTCTTCGTGGTTTTCTCGGAGGTCAGTCCTTACATAAGGTCCATTCTGCAGTCACAGAGGTCCATACCACAGAACCACGTTTAGGGTTCTGCAAATACCCTGCACTAACTCCTTTCTCTGAGCTGACACAGGGCAAATGTCACATGCTAACAAGGTCACCAGAGCTGCTCTTCTTGGCCCTTAGTACTTTCAAGGCCATCTTTCCCCGACTACTGCTTACAAGTAACTGTCATTCACGTGCTGGTGAGAGAGGCCCACAGGGGAGGCCCCCCCTCCCATCTTCCCCTTCCCCTCACTCCCTCTTTTCTCTCCTCCCCTCCATCTTTGAAGAGCTCGGAGTTAAAAAGAGCAGTTGCCACTCCCAGGACAACTTTCCCAAACGCTCCGTGTAAAATTAGTGTGTTCTTTTCACAGGTCATTTTATGTAGAGATAAATGTCGCCATGCCCAGCCTGCCCTTCCTGAGTGGGTTCTGGGGAAGAATGTACTACAGATATGAATATGAACTAGTGGAGATATCCGCTGGAAAGAGACATTAGACACAGCCCGTTCGTTAACTTTTCTTGCTCCCTTCTCAAGTCAGAGATGAGTTTTCTCATTCTAAGAGAACGCGGTTCATGGAGTTCCTCAATGGGCGTGTTGATCCCACACCACATATGGTAGTGACTGTTTTATTGCAAATATTCATGGCCATGGATTAAATGAACTTAGGGAAAGCATCTTGCTTTACCCAATACTTTTCTTTAAGACGACAAGGGTATTTAAGACAAAAAGTGAATGCAGTGACCAAGTTGCCCATTATTACTTTAAGTTGACCGGATATTCTTGATTTAAAAAACAAACAAAACAAAACTGTTTTCACCTATATTTCTAGCTTAGGAAGAATAGCATGAATATCATATTTCATTCAGTAAGCTACACTATAAATTACAAAAGCTGGCCTTCAGCATGCGTGTAACCAACCCAAGCTATATTCCTGTCTTTGAAGACTGTAGCTCCTTTCATACATTTAAAGTTTTCCATTCTAGTTATCATCCTTTGGTGATAGTTACTCATGATATCTTGGGTCTGGAAGTAATTACTCACATGGCTGAGAGAGAAGTTACAGAAGTGATCAAGTTAAGCAGTTTGCTATGGGAGGGCGTCCTTGACGGCACAGGTGCAGAGTTTATGAACTCAGAAAAGCATGCGGGAGAGGTAGAGAAAGGACGACATGAGCTGTGGAGCCCACAGTTAGGATTGATGACATCTCCAGATGCAGGACGCGGCAAGCAAGGCTTTCTCTACACTGGAAAGGACC